CCCCAAAACCCCAAAACCCCAAAACCCCAAAACCCCTCTTAGAAAACTTAAAACTGAAATTTTAGCGATATTTATTTTTTGCAGTCTTTAGTCTTTTCTTGGCTGATTCTAGACCTTAATGGATCGAACTTACTCTTAGGCTTAACAACCTCCTCTATTCTCTCTGTTGAGCTTCGAACTGGTGATACTTCTAGAAGGATTACAGAATATTTACCTTGGGATTTCCTTATTTTTGATTTATTCCGTAAAGACTTCCTCGATCGCCCTTTCTTAGCTACCTTTGACCTTTTTGTCGGCTTCAAACCTCTTGGAGTTCCACTTGGAGAAGTCTTGACTTTATTCATCAACAAAATTTTCTACAATAATGACACTTGCATACTCTATTTTGCCGCTCTAACTTCTCATTTTTGAGCTTTTCAATTTCCTTATTTCGTAAAGGCAATCTGTGACGCAAATAGCTCCATTGTATCTTTTGCCCTTAAATACTTACATACAAACAACTACCTATTCTTAACCTCATTTACCCCATCAAATCTTAGATTGAGCACGAAGAGCTCATCCTTTACGACACCTAAAATATCAAAAATCCTCTTACTGCTTTTCTCATTAATTTTCTTATTCAAAATATCCCTCTCCTTGTACATCTTCGTAATCTCTTCTTTTGTTTGCTCTATTGCTAGACAAGTTTAGAGGCACTGAATACCTTGGCTGATACGGTCCTTCTCTTTGCTAAAAATAACCGCAAAAATTACTAGAATAAATTGGTGACTCGTCTCATTTTATTATCAGCTTCAATAAGGTCTCCATCCTTCTCTCTATCAAGCAAGCGAAGCTAGGTTGGTTAGGTCATGCAGAATTACTTGGTTTGATTGCTCTAGAATATAAGTAAAATGCGGAAATTATCAAGAAGGTCAAGAGGAATGCTTACTGTCTATAGCTTTTGAAATAGCATCTTCTTCCTTAATCTTCTTTATTTTATCAAGTTCAATTTGATAAGCTTCTTGTTTATTCCTCTCTTTTTCCTTAATAACCATTCTGGTTTCTCTCTGAATCATAGGCATTGTTTTGATTTCTTCTGTGATTTCAATAATCTCTTCACGCACATTTTGGAGTTTGAGCCTTTCCCTGAAGTCTTTCTTCTCTAAAAAATTAACAAGAATTTACCCTGGATTAGACTTGAGATTTTATTCAGAAGACTTATGCTGACCATATTCCTTCGAAGATCTATTCTACGAAGATTAGGCTTCTCGTGGAGTAGGTTAAGTAATATGAGAGCCCCTTCTTTCTTTAGGGAGTTATTTCGAAGGATTAGGGATCGAATATTGTCTGTAATATCGATTCCTTCCAAAGATTCATCAGTTAAGTAATTATCAGAGAGGTTTATGTATCTCAAACTTGACTCACTTGAACATAACACATTAGCTAGATTGTCTGAATGCTTCTCTGTAATATTGTTATAAGATAAGTTCACTGCATATAGCCCAGTGTTATTTTCAAGAGCTTCTAGAGCTCTTCTGGCACATTGATGATCAAGCGATGACCTAGAGTATTTTATTTCATGACTTACGATGCAATTGACAATTTTCGGAGATTAGTATTTTGCCACATTGCCTCAGTGAAATGTTTCATCGTTGGACCTCTCAACTTGTTCTGTTCCATGTAAAGTGTCTTCAAAGGAATATTACTTTTTAAGCAGCTGTAAATGCTCATTGCACCAATGTGGTTAAACTCACAAGCTGTAATGTCTAATTCTAGTAATCTAAATCTATAAGTCATCAGAAGCTTGGCCATAATAGCAATTCCTTCATTACCCAAAGGATTATGGGATATATTCAGCTTCACTACACTGGTTTTTGGTAAATAATTCTTAATGACTTCCATCCCACCTGGCCCAATATTGTTCTCTCTGAGATTCAAACCTTTAAGGGTAAAACATCCTTCAATCCCATACATTAATTCCTTGATTCCTGGGTCTGAGAGTCTGATTCTATCAAATTCTTGGTGTGCTGAAAAATCAATATGGAATTCGAATTCTCCATATTTAAGGATATTTTTGATCGAATTCCACCCTCTCAGACCCATTTTGGACCCAATTTGGATTCTGAAAGTAGGCTTCTTACTCATCTCAGCAATAGTGATATGATTAAAGTCAAGCTTGGCAAGCAAATTCATGGTCAACTTGGTATCTACTCTCTCCAAAATGCTCTTATTAGTCATTGTTCCAAGATTTTTCTTAATAATAAATCTCCCGATCTGCTTATCAGCAGGGCCGATGATATTGCAATTAATCTGAGGTCAGTTCTCTTCAATCCCAAGGGAAAATATTACGCTATCAATGGGAGGCTCTTTTCTCTGTTCGTACATCAATTTGAAAGTTCTGCGAAGCTCATGAAGGCTCATTTCGATGTTCCCATGATGGATCACCTTGTTATCACCAATAATCTCTGTTTTATTTTCTTACTAAACTAATTACACGACTTTTCTTAGGAGGTGAAGAGGACATCTCAAGACTATTCTGGGATCCATGAGTTCTGTTTTTAAATGAGAATGCATCATCCCAGAAAGAACTAGTAGCTTCCGTTGGCTTCTTTGGTTGCTTCTTACTTCTAGAGGACCTCAATGTTGTAAAATATTTTCCTGGTTGATAATTTGGAGATGTAATGGGTAATACTGGGACTTTTGGAGAACTTGGACCTAAATTGCTTGAAAAAGCAGTAATCGCTGTCACTGGTCTGCCCTCCATGTTCATATCAACAGACCTCTTCCCTTTCCTCTTAGTGCCAATATCTATAAATCGTCAAACAGAGGGTAAAAACTAATAGAAAATAAGTTACTCACCTTCACGAATTGCGGACATCGGTCTTCTTTTATTTAATCATTACATCTCTATTCCTGAAGGGGTTTCCCTTAACTCCATTCCTCATATAATCTCCTCTTGAGGTCTGTGGTCTAAACCAAAAGGCATCTTTACCTACCTCCTCTGCTTTTTGTTACTCACAGTGAGTAAAGAATTCCTGGCATTATTCTCCATCTGTAAGGTTGTTCGATACCCATAAAAATGGTTAACATGATTCAGTGCCATAAACTCCGCCTCTTGCTCCCTAAAAAGAGGGGATCAGTGCTTTTTCTTCTGCTTATCAACCTCTTCATTGAGCATGGTCTTCAGGTTTCTAAAATTCTTCATTATCTTGGTCATCTTCTTGGATTTAGTCGCTGAAGAACTCATTGCGAAGTTCGAACTTCTTCGTTTCATTTTATTATCAATATAAAATATTTCAATAATATATGTTAGTAAAGGGGTTTTGGGGTTTTGGGGTTTTGGGGTTTTGGGG